TTAGGGTTATAAGCAGTATTTCACAAAAAAAATTTCCTTTATAGTTAGGATTATCCCTTTAAGGCAGAATCCCTTAATGCAGTCATATAGGGTAAACATCTTGGGCAATAATACTATGAACTTTCTTTCTAAAAGGTTATAGCAATGTTTAATGCCAGCATCAGTATATAAGAGTGCTCATAGGAACTTCCCCGGTGGTTGGTCTAGTGGTTAAAAATCTGCCTTCCAATGCAGGGGATACGGGTTCAATCCCTGGTCGGGGAACTAGATCCCATATGCTTCAGGGCAACTAAGCCCGCAGGCTACAACTACTCAGTCCGTGTGCCATAACTAAGGATCCCACATGCCACAGCAAAGACCTGATGAAGCCAAATAAATGTTAAAAAAAAAAATTAAAAAATAAAAGAACTGTGCCCATAGCACTCCTTTCCTATCTTTTAAAATGTAGTGTGTCCACTATCATTAGGCATGCTGCAGAAAAATTGATTTGATGTAACAAAGCAAACCTTAAATGAAATTTTGCTAAAAATCTTGTCCAGAAAATAAATCTAATTACTGTAATTAACAGTGAAAGCCAAAAGAAGCATCCAGCACCACTATTATTATATTATTAACATTAGGAAGGTACTCCATTTGTCAAAGTATTTTATAATCATGTATTAGTTAATCCTCATAACATGCTTCAGAAGCAATGAAGCTATTTATAGCTGGACTTCCTGAGTGGAATGTCTTTCAAAAGTCCTTTGTCTTGATATCTCAAATCATTATCACTAGCATATCAATTCACAGAATCATTCTTATCTNAGCAATGAAGCTATTTATAGCTGGACTTCCTGAGTGGAATGTCTTTCAAAAGTCCTTTGTCTTGATATCTCAAATCATTATCACTAGCATATCAATTCACAGAATCATTCTTATCTGTAGAATCCCAAGGATGCGAGGGACTTAACTGGCTGCTCAGTCCAAGGAAATCAAGCGGGCCCTGATGTGGGGTGCAGAATTTTCATATCACATGCTGAGAATTTGTTTTCTTCTCAGATCTCCATGCCTCCATGAAAGTATGGCCCACCATAGGCAGCCGATAATAAAACTACTGCTATTTCTAAATTGAACATCTTTGTGCTGCAGCTACTATAGGAGGAAGAGTTTATACTCAATAGGATTCTTACAATTTCCACAACGACTGGAATTATTTAGGTTTGTACATATACATTACTGTAGCTGCAATAGTGCTTACACCCAACACTACCATGAGAACTTTTTATGATCTTAAAATGTGCCATAATTGAGAAAGAGCATAACTATCTATAATCATACAACGTATGTCTGCTGTGCTCAGTCGTGTCCGACTGTTTGCAACCCCATGGACTGAACCCCAGGCCTGCAACCCCAGGTTCCTCTATCCATGGAATTTTCCAGGCAAGAACACTGGAGCGAGTAGCCATTTCCTACTCCAGGGGATCTTCCTGACCCAGGGACTGAACCCACATCTCTTGTGTCTCCTGTATTGGCAGGTGAGTTCTTTACCCCTGCACCACCTGGGAAGCTCAATCTTGCAAATACTTTTCTTTAAAGTGGGGGTTTTTTTTTTTTCTCCCAACCAGGAAGGGACCTGAGTTCTTTACTGCAGACAAGGAATAAATATTGAGTTGGCCAAAATGTTTAAAAACACAAATGAACTTTTTGGCCATCCCAATACATAAAGGCTGAGAACAACTCATCTAATTCAATGCTTAGCCTACATGATGGCTGGTTTCAAGCGGCAGATCAAGGCTGTAGAACCACAAGTCCCCAAAACTGCACAGAAACCAGGGTTGTGGGAAAAGGCTCCTCTTAATTCCACATTCCCATTTCCTCCTCAGATGCACAACTGAAAGCACAGTGGCAGTTGGACAGAGCTACCAGGAGGACCCGAGTCCCCCAGCAGTAACTGACCCTGTAATGTATTTGTCAGTAGCTCCCACCTCCCTTCCCTGCTCCAGGAGGGCAGCCAACCCGATGTTTTGTTAGCCTGCCAGTTGACTACAGGAACAGGGCAGCCCATCAAGGACCAGCCAAGTGAGATGAGTACAAATAGCCGAGCTAAGAAATAAATGCTGTCTTTTAGCAAGTAAGTTTTGGGGTGAACTGATTCCTAACTAGCTGATATAAGCTAACCGATATAAAAACTCCAGTCTAAGGAGTGAAATGGCCTGCTGAAAATCACTGAGCTGTATAGCGGCCTGAATGTGAAGTGAAATCAAATTAAGTCTGGGCTAATAGGTAACTGGATGAATAAATATGTCTTTAGGTTATTTATTAATNGGATGGGGTCGCACAGAGTCGGACACAACTGAAGTGACTTAGCAGTAGCAGTAAATAATACTTTGCTGAGATACTGGGAAAATAGGAAAATCAAGGCATGGTGTCTTATCTTCAGAAGGCCAAGATTCTACTAGAAGATATAACATGGATAGATAAAGAAAATAGAATGTAATAAAGATAACAATAAATACATAGGACTTTATGGGCTGGTAGAAGGGGAGCTGTGACCCAGGCTGAGAGGTACAAGTGGGCTTCTGGTTACTAGGCACATACCCTGAGAAAGCCATCGTTCAAAAAAAATACACATACCCCTTTGTTCACTGAAGCACTATTTACAATAGCCAGGACATGGAAGCAACCTAAGTGTCCATGGACAGGTGAATGGATAAAGAAGAGATGATACATATATACAATGGAGTATTACTCAGCCAGAAAAAAGAATGGAATTGGGTCATTTGTAGAGACAGGAATGGACCTAGAGTCTGTTGTATAGAGTGAGATAAGTCAGAAAGAGAAAAACAAATATCGTATATTAGTGCATGTATGTGGAATCTAGAAGACTCGTACAGATGAGCCTTGTTCCAGGGCAGGAACAGAGATGCAGGTGTAGATGTAGAAATGCAGATGCATGAACACGTGGACATGGGGTATGGTCAGGGATGGGGAGCCTGGGATGAATCAGGACTGACATACACACTACCATGTGTAAACGAGACAGCTAGTATAAATACTGTGCTTTATAGAAGCTGCTATAAGGCACAGGAAGCTCAGCTCGGGGCTCTGTGATGATCTGGGGGTGGGATGGGGGGCTGGGAGGGAGGTCCAAGAAGGAGGGGATGTATGTGTACATGTAGTTGATCCACTTCATTGTAGAGCAGAAACCAACATAACACTATGAAGCAATTATACTCCAAAAAAAAAAAAAAAATCAGGAAAAAAAGTGATGCCTCAGCAAGGCTTAAAGAATAAAGGGAGATTGCCAGCTTGGAGTGGAGGAGGAGGGGAGGAAGGCACGGTAGGGCAGCAAGAGGAAATAACAGGCAGGGTGCGCATCGTGCAGGGTATGGAGCCACCAGCAGACAAGTGCTGCCGGACAGTGAGGAGGAGAAGGAGAACACTGCTGAGAATGACATCAGATCCTGGACGGTCCACGTGCCACGGCAAAAAGCTTCAATTATCTATCCTGGGCAAGGAGAAGCCACTGAAAAGTTCTAGGCAATCAGATCAGCATCTCTGAAACATCATTCTGGCATCACAGAGGATGGGTCAGGGAGACAGGAAGGACAGGTGAGAGTCCATGGAGACATGAACTATGCCAGTCACAGTGGGGATGAACAGGAAGAGGTGGAACTGAAAATCATTTAGGAGGGAGAACCTGGAGGCATCGGTAATGGACAGGCTGGCTGGGGGACTGCAACAGAAGGCAGACACAAGACGAACCCCAGTTTCCTGCAGGGTGGCTAGGTCTTGGATGTCCACCATCTTTCCCAACTCTGTTTATGCTCTTGACAGTTCGATGTGGGTATAAAACTTTGATCTCTGTTCAGTTAAATTCTGGGAGCTTTTCATGAATGTTCTTACTGCTAAGATCCTTCTGGATCCTGCCATGGATATCTGATACATTTCCACACTGGTGGCTGTAGCTATGGATAAGCTTCATCCAAACCTTTGATAAGAAAGTAAAGAAGGAACCAAGAACCTTAGCTGGAGTTGTAGACCCAATTCTGGATATACTCTGAATATAATTAGATATACATCAAAACAGTGAAGGGACAGAAGAAAAGTCCCATGAAAAAGGAAAAGTAAACGGCAGGTGTTTAACTTGGAGAAGAGGTGACTCAGGAGTTGGGGGCAGGAGGAGAAGGGGACGACAGAGGATGAGATGGCTGGATGGCATCACCGACTCGATGGGCATGAATGTGAGTAGACTCCAGGAGTTTGTGATGGAGAGGGAGGCCTGGCGTGCTGCAATTCATGGGGTCGCAAAGAGTCAGACACAACTGAGCAACTGAACTGAACCAAACCGAAAGCATCTGTATAAATTTGCTAGAGCTGCCCCAACAAAATGCCACAAACTGGGTGCCTTAAATAATAGGAATTTATTTTCTCTAGTTCTGAAGGCTAGAAATTCAAAATCAAAGTGTCAGCAGGGTTGGTTTCTTCTGAGGCTTCTCTCCTTGGCTTGCAAATGGCTGTGCCTCTGTCCTGTCTCCTCTCCTCCTCCCACCGGATGAGGATCTACCCATATGACCTCATTTCAATTGAATTACCTCTTCGAAGACCCTAACTCCAAATGCAGTTTGAGTTACTGGGGTTTAAGATTCCCAAGGATACATTTTTAAGGGATCACAATTCAGTCCACAACACAGCCTGTCAACAGGGATGTGTAAACAGAGGTCTGATGACTGTCAACCAGAGGAAACCAACGAAGAAATTGAAGTAACAAATTCAGAGCGTCCTTGAACGTCCCTTGAGGTCTCAGAGCTACGATTCTCAACATTGCGAGAGGGCACCTCAGCCCTGCTGTTAAACATTATTAACACAATAATCTCCCCGGGGCTTCAGACAATAATTACATTTTCATGGCAGCTTAAATGATGGATGAGAAATGTTGCTTTACTTTAACCCTTCTTGGAGGAAAGGCGCAGGCCGGCAGCTACACACGAGAACCTCCAGAGGACAACCGGCATGCTTACCTGTGAAACAGGACAGACTTCACCAAGGTGACTACGTCCCGGCTGGCGTTGTATCCGGCACAGACAATAGCAACGTGGATTGTCTGGGAAGAGAACAGAGGAGCAATTAGATGGAGGAGAGGGATTTTCCTGGTGCTTCTGACGGCATGAGAAAGTGCCCTATATCTTGTTGGGATGGTCGGGACACAAGGAACATTGGCGGCAGCTGTGAAGAATAACTCCAGACAGTTTTATTAAGGCCTTTTTAATCGGTTTATGGAGCTATCATCATTTAGAAACCATTAAGGCTCTTTTCAATTACATTTTGGGGACGAGAGAAATGGCAATTGGCTTGAATAGGCAAACAGTGCGTTCCGTGCCCCCAAGCCTGGAGACAATGACAATCGGTAACAAGAGAGGAGAAAGAAATACACCCGAATGTATGAATTGACAATCGGGGATCTCAGTTGGAGACGTGGTGGCTCAGAGTTCAGGAAATGTTCTCACAGGACATCTCAGGTCAGGGGCAATCTGATAACAGGACAAAGGGAACCAAGAAACACCAATGGGCCCAGCTGGGATACCATTCAGGGAACTGAAGGCTGCAGAATCAATGGGACATGGATGGATCATCTCACCGAAGCACTTGAGAGCATGGGCCCCAGCATGCCCATTAACCCCGGGTGACCCAGGAAAGCTTCAGCATCAGGTGGCTGACTGTAACATGATGGTCAGGACACACTCATGCAGGATGTCACGGAAGGGAGCTATGTCAAGTACAGAGATGCGGCACACTGCAGTCTGATCGCAGAAGAAAGGCCCTCGAGAGCTGAGCTTCCGAAACGGGGGTGACTTGGCATCTTGGTGTGCCATGAATAAATTACAGGTGATGAAGATAATGCATCTCTTCAAGTGAGAGTTCCAGGCTACTGGGCAGGCTACCCCTTGGACTTGGCTGCCCTCTGCTGCCTGCGATTTTTATGCTCCCCTGGGCACCCAATACTGAAATTCAAAGAAGGGGTCTTAATAGGCACTGCTTCATTTTCAGAACCATGCATGGCCCTTCCTTGTGGTGCCTGGCTCCCAGACTCCCCGTTTTCCTCACCAGCCACTTCCAGCTGCAGGGCAGTTTTGATGTCCTGCTCCCCCCCCATAAACAGGCTTCCCCAGACCTACGTCAGCCTGTGCCACCTGACATCACCAAAAGGTTAACCATATCCAGGATAAACCAACCAAGAGTCTAGGATGCACTTGCAAGACCTTTTTAATTCCAACGACCTTCATTCCACCCTGGCTACTCACTCAGTGCCAGGTACTGAACCTCGGCTTCCTCCAGAAGTGATGACTTTTGAGAAATTATGGGTTACCCACAGCTCTAGGATCCTCAGAGCCTCTCACCCCTGCAGCTGTCCCTCCCCTTTNCCCCCGCCCCACTTCACCCTGTGTATCAGGCCCTACCTGCTTACCTGACCCATCTACCCTGCCCTTGGCTCCCTGACATGTTTAGCCCACACATGCAATACACAAGCCAACGCCCCACAGTCAGGGAAGCAGGATCCCTGCTCCACACTTATATGGAGGACCAAGAAGGAAGACGAGGGAAGACGGAAGAGAAGAATCACTACGCTAAGAGCTAATATTTATTGAGCAAATTAGTACATACTGGGTACAGTACTTAGCACTTTACACAGATTGCCAGGTTTAAACTGTACAAGGCAAGTACAGGGTTACTGTTTCCGTATTAGAGATCAGGAAACAGGCTGAGAGAGACGGCATTTGAATTTTGCATAAGAGATTCTTCACCCTGCTGGTGGTGCATCAGAAACACCCAAAAGATCTCAAAAATGTACCCTGTGCCCCAGCCCTGTCTCACACCAATTAACTCACACTCTCAGATGTCCAAGACTTTAACTACTCTACTAGAAGGCAGTGGTTCTCAATAGGGGGTAATTCACTCCCCTCTGCCTCCCCTATAACATGTGGCGATGTCTGAAGTCATTTTGGGTTGTCACTGCTGGGGATGTGAGGAGCGGCATTCTATGGATGGAGGCAGAGATGCTGCTCTGCATTCTACAATGCACAGGGTGGTCCCAAAAGAATCACCCTATGTGCAAAAGGTCAAGAGCACTGTCTCTAGGAAACCCTGTTTTAAGGAAGGAGAGGGGCAGTGAGAGGAGGCTCAGATCCCACAGGACGCCAAAGCCACCTTTTCAATCTCATTTCTGCACATCTCAACTTCCCCACCTGTAAAATGATGACAGCCCTGCTTATCTCTGAAAAATATCTCCCAAAGACTCAGAATCAAAGTCTGTAAGGCATATGCAACTGTCACTGTTTGAATAGTGGAGGAGATGAATAGGAAAATGCCTGCCCATGGGAGGTATAACCAGGGTGGAAACAAGAATGGGTAAATGCACGCTGAATCAGGCTCTTTGGAATCGCAAATATTTAAACACCCGGCCTCTGAGATATCAAACTTTGTCTTGGCTTCAGGGTTCAGGGACTTTTTTAAATGGGCCCATTAAATGTAAGCACAAACGCGCACATTCTCAAACATTTTACATAATTTCCCAATCTCTTTAGTTTCATCCAGCACACCTGCCACCATGAATAAATTCATCATCTGCAGCCGCCACCGCAGAGCCCTGCTACCCAGGAAGGCAGAAAACTGGAGTGTCACGAACACGCACCTGAAAGAGCTCGGGGTGGTCCCAAATTTTGTGGGTGCAGAAGAGAATGGCAGGAGTGAGGCGGGGCTCGAGGCAGGAGTGGGGGCAGTCTGGGGACAGGGACGAAGGTTCCTTGAAGGACCAGGGGTGCATACATGGCCTCACTAAGAGAATTTTCCATTTTGAAGCTATGAAGTCCAAGTTTCAAGTTTCTCAATGTGGTGGCTTAAAGGTGGTCCCAGATACCCGGATGTTCCTCCCCTCAAAGGAAAGGGTCTAGCATCAGATTCTGTGACCACGTGTTCACTCCTCCCCTATACTTGGTAGACATCATACTTGCCTTTATTGGTCAGAAAGTCTGAATATAGTGTGATCTTGGACTCACTGTCCTTTTCCAACTGGATTTGTGCCCCAAGAACCTTTTGTAGACCAAATTAATTGGGTTCCTGTCACCCTGTTTATTTAACTTATCTGCAGAGTACACCATGCAAAATGCTGGGCTGGATGAAGCACAAGCTGGAATCAAGATTGCCAGGAGAAATATCAACAACCTCAGATATGCAGATGACACCACCCTTATGGAAGAAAGCTAAGAGGAAATCCTGATGAGGGTGAAAGAGGAGAGTGAAAAAGCCTGGTTTAAAACTCAACATTCAGAAAACTAAGATCATGGCATCTGGCCCCATCACTTCATGGTGAACAGAAGGGGAAAAAGTAGAAGCAGAGACAGACTTTATTTTCTTGGGCTCCAAAATCACTGCAGATGGTGAGTGCAGCCATGAAATAAAAAGACACTTGCTCCTTGGAAGGAAAGCTATGACGAACCTAGAAAGTGTATCAAAAAGCAGAGACATCACTTTGCTGACAAAGGTCCGTCTAGTCAAAACTATGGTTTTTCCAGTAGTCACATACTGATGTGAGAGTTGGATCATAAAGAAGCTGAGCACTGAAGAATTGATGCTTTTATACTGTGGTGTTGCAGAAGACTCTCGAGAGTCCCTTGGACTGCAAGGAGATCTAACCAGTCGATCCTACAGGAAATCAGCCCTGAATATTCATTGGAAGGACTGACGCTGATGCTACAATACTTTGGCCACCTGATGGGAAGAGCTGACTCACTGGAAAAGACCCTGATGCTGGGAAAGACAAGGCAAAAGGGGAAGGGGACAACAAAGGATGAGATGGTTGGATGGCATCAGACTCAATGGACATGAGTTTGAGCAAAGTCCAGGAGACAGTGAAGGGAAGGGAAGCCTGGCTTGCGTGACCCATGGGGTGGAAAAGAGTCAGGCATGACTCAGCGACTGAACAACAACAACCACAAACTGTGTTCCTCCTGCCTCTGGTTTCTGGTTGAGTTTGGTCAATGGGAGACCTCAGCAGGAGTCCAAAGCCCCTCTCTCGCTTTACCTCTAGTTATGGTTCCACAAGTCCTCCTCCTGCCCCCGCAGGCCTAGGGGTTGTGGTGACTCCTTCCTGGGAACTTTACAACCCTCACTGGTTCCCCTGAATCCTGCCCATGCCTCTGGCCCCGTGTTAAATCCTCTCCCCACCTTTTCTGAGTGTGCCTCCTGTTTCTTGCTGGGACCTGACTAATTCTGGTGACTATTCCTCAGCACCCCACTTATCCTGGGGGCTAGAATGGGACCTCTGATGACTTCGGGGCATCCATAGATGTATCACTGATCCTTAAGGCAAAGCAAGGCAGAAGGGCATCCAAATAACAAACCTGAGAATGGATAAATCGTAGGTATAAATTGGAAGGGACATGCCCTGGAGATCCAGTGATTAGGACTCAGTGTTTTTACTGCTGAGGGCTGGGTTTGATCCTTGCTTAGGGAACTAAGATTCTACAACCCATGCAGTGCAGCCAACATAATTTGTTTTTTTTTTTTACTTAAATAAATGTTAAGGCACTCTACAAAATTCTCAGACATAGGGACCACAAGATTTTTTATAAGGAAAGCTTCCTGCTTTCTCCCTTTAGTCATCAATACGATGCTGCAAGCTGTACCTGGAGATACAGGTAAGAGTGCCAGAGCTGTGAACTGGGCTTCATTCCTGATGCCACTGGGGTCAAGTAAGTGACCTTCACTTTCGGGGCTTGCAGGAAGAATTTGGACATGACATAGGTGCCTTTAGAGAGATTGATGTGCCAGGCACTGTCCTGGGCTCAAAGGAGAGAAAGGTCAATCGGCCTTTGTTCCCCGGGTCAAGTGAAGAGGGAGAAATACAGTCAACCAGACAA